TCCTCTAACTCACATTTTTCTGGAAAAAGTCAACTGTGACTTCCAGGCCATAATTAGAGACCTCTGTGGCCGAGAGGCCGAGCCTGCCCCTGCCCTGACTCATACTCCAGCAACAACCAGGACGTGGCATCTGATGTCTGGGCCCTGGGGCCAGGTCAGGGGTCAGGGTGTCAGGTCCAGCTATTTCTGCCCTTAAGTGTGCCGGTTCCTTGAATCTGGTGGTCACAAAGGTGTTTTCTCCAGCTCTCCAGCTGGTGTGCAGGACAGGGTGCTAGGCGGGTGGCCTTTGGGTGAACAGGTGCCTATCGGCACCCTCTGGGCTGTCCTGATCAGGGAATAACAGGTGGCAGCCATCAGCAAGGGCTCTCTGTTTATGAAGGTGTCAGTGTATCAGATCTGGTGACCCTGACACTTCCTCCAAAGTTGCTCCTCTACTTTTCTGCCCCCCACGCACCACATTTCCCAGGAGTAGAAACAGACACAGATTTCCCGCAATAGCTGGGAGCAGTGAGAGGAGCATTCCCCCAGATGTCTGGGCCAGCAAGAATCATCCAACCCTCTTCGGCAGAAGGGAGGGGCAAGGCAAGGAGCATTTTCAAAGTGTGTCATCTGTTGGTACACAGTATCCCTCACCCCAGGGATACTCTGGTCATGGTCCCTTTTTTTCTTCCCTGAGACAGGATCTTGCTATGTATGTCAGGCTGATGTCAAACTCACAGTGAATCCTCAGCCTTCTCAGTATGGAATTACATGTGTGTACCACCACGTCTGACTATGATCACAGTCCTTGAGTCACTCCTGCCTCACTGAGCCAGAGCCTACCGTGGGTACCCCAGGCCCTCACCTGTGCAGCCCCATCCCCGGCCAGGCCCACTATCAGGAGCCCCAGTGTGAGCATGTCGAGCTCATCCCACAAGAAATAGTGGATCTCCTATCCTCAGCCACTCAACTTTGCTGGAAGCCAGGACTTTTGGGGACCATTGAGCAGTTGTCCCCAGCCCTTCCAGAGCCACACCACAGTGGGCTAGGTAGCTGGCATGCATGTATCCCACTGGGTATGCAGCTGAGGAAGTAGGAGGTGGCCCCTAGAGATGCAGACTGGCCAAGTTGTACAGGACAGAGGCCTCCAGCTGAGGCTGGAGTCCCTCATACCACACGATCTGCTGCACCTTGTACACCTCTAGTGACAGAGAGCTCACTCCCTCCTGAGTAGCCTCTCTGGTGTCAGGGGTGACTTGGGGCATCGTTTTGCTTGCAGGAGAAATCCACTCCAGCCTTGGCTTGTCACCCTGTCAGGCGTCTGACTGCAGGGACGTAACTTCTCCTCAAGGCTGCTATCCTCCCGGCCCAGCAGGCCTAGCTCCTGGTGGAAGACCTCAAGTCCTCATCTCAAGCATGCTTTCATTTGGGCTTGGCAAACAGAGCTCATCTCTGTGCCAGCCAGGATGGGTCGTGTGCGGTGCTGCGTTGGCAGGGGCTGGGAGCGAGCCTGCGATCAATTAATAGTGTCTGCCAGGGGCAGCAGAAGAAGGTGAGGCAGGCTCAGGCTCTGGTCTGTGTCCCTACTGGGTTCTGGGGTCTAGACTGTGTTCTGCTGTGATCTGACAACTGTCACAGGCAGCTGGGCTATTTTTGCCTCTGGATTTTATTCAACTTAGTGACGAGCTCCTCAGCTGCATGGAGACTTCAGCTCATATTAAGCTTACAGCCAACCAAAAAAATCTCCAAGTCTCTTTCCTGTGAACAGCTGTCAAACCAGAGCTGCCACCATCTTGACGTGACTTCCGTTGTTAGATAAGAATTGATTCAAGTAGGTCCCTTGTTGATGGACATTCTGATTATTTCCAAATTTTCCTATTGGGAGACCACACTGCGGTGCAAGTCTTTGTGTTAAACCCTTTGAGCACTGGTCTGGTTTACTTGGTGCAGATTTCTGGGAAGAAGTTGCATCTTCAGAGAGAGGTGAATAGCAGCCACCTGACTGCCAGAGACGATTCTGGAAGCTCTGAAGTGTCAGGAAATCCGAGGGGAACTGAGCATGTGCCATACCCTATTTTTGGATATGAGAGGACTGCCCTAAGTCTAAATGCTCCCCATCTTATGATGAGCTGTTGGACATGGAACCATTCTACTTTCCCCAGAAAGTAACTTCAGGAGAGCTGAGATATGCTCAGTAAAGAGGTAGGGGCTTAGACTCTGGAGCCCAAGGCTATTAGTGTGGAAAAATCAGGTCCCTCTGTGAGAATGGTGAATTTATGTCCTGGAATTCAGTTTGATGACTTGCTAACCAGTTCCTCTGTCACAAGTGTGCTATGTAGACTATCCTGGCAGTCTGCGGTCAGGCCCATTGCTGTGAGGACTCGTTGGCATGGGACATTTTCACTTTAACGAATTATTTGATTTTCAGACCGAGGGGAAGGATCATAAGTTCCACCCATCCTGAGCAACAGAATGAAGACGCTATCTCAGAAACAATAATGGAGGCTGATGACAAGTTTAAGCCCAACCTAGGAAACATAGAGACTTAATGAGACTCTGTCTCAAAATATTAATAAAAATAAAAAAGAACTAGGGAGGTAGTGGTGTGTGAGGGCCCAGGATTTGTTCCCCAGTGCTGCAAAAACAAAGAAACAAATCAAAACTTGAAAAGGGTGGTGATGTAACTTAATGTGAGAGCCCTGGCTCAACCCCAGTGCTGCCAAACTGAAATAAAAAATTAAAAAGGGCTGGAGATAGGGTTCAGTGTGAAGATGTGGCTCCTGAGCAGGGGCCCTCTGGGAACGGTGGGGATTCTGGACACAGCTGGACACAATACCTTGACCCTGGAAGCAGCTGTGTGCAGGCCACAAAGCCAGGGGAAAGCTGAGACCTGCAAGTCACCACGAGGTGGACGTTTTCTTTCACCTGAGCTTGTCTCATGGATCAGGACCCAGCCCAACTCTCTCTGCAGGGCCCCTGCCCATGGGCCACCAGGGGCTCCTGGTCCTTTTGCAGGGCCCTGCCTGACCCTCTGTGCGCCTACTCACTCAGTGTTGGGCCACTGCCTTACATTCCCCTCTTCTCTGCAGGCTGGCTGCAGCCCTCCTTGACAGACTTGGTCTGTCTGCTGGGGTGTGTCATGGGGTGCACACACCCCTGCAGATAGCGGTTGCTGCTGTGGGCTTGTCTTCAGTGCTGCAGCAGCGATCTGCCCCATCCCTCCCACACACTGAGCTCAAAGGGATGCTGAAGGGACTGGGGTGGAACCGGTGGCTCTTGTGATGCACGTGAACTCCCTCGCACTGCTGGGACACATCCACAGCACTAGTGCTGTAGGAAGAGAAACTGAGGCCTGGAAGTGAGAGATGGCTCATTCCAGCTCACTACCACAAGTGGCACCAGGCAAAAACCTTGTCTCCAAGGGAGGCCCTCTGTCCTGCTTTGCCCCTCTGGATGTGGTGGGCTTTTTTGTTCTTTGTCCCCACACTAGAAGGGGGAAGGTAAACAGTAGAGGTCTGTACCCATCCCCGCTGCTGGTGTCCATCACTCAGGGTTCTTGGTTCCAGGACTTCCGTCCCAAGCTGTGCCCTGGTTTCTCTTTCTAGTGTCTTTCCTTCCCAGAAATTGACACTTGGCAGCCAGTCGTGCCAAGCCCTGAGGAGCCATGGGGACAGAAGTAAGGCAGGCAGGGGCAGAGGTTGCCCACGGCTGTTGAGTGCCAGGCGCAGAGGTTGCCCACGGCTGTTGAGGAGCCATCTCCATTGGCTGCAGAGGAGATGTTGGGGCAGGATTGCAGTTGGGTGGAACCCGTGTACCCTTCTGCTGTCACATCCAGTGAGACCTCACACCGTCCCAGACCAGAAGGTCTTTAACACCCAGCCTGAGACCAAGTGACCTCACTGAGACAGGGAACCGCCAGGGAGATGAAAAGTGGCATTGGGAACTTGTTGCTGAAAGTCTTCTTTCTGCCCTCACCCCAAACTGGAAAGTGATTTGCAGCGGAAACCAATACCTACACAGGAGAGAAGTTCCAAGTTGCTGGCTCGGATGAGTCAGCCTGCCCTCTGGGTCTCCACCAGTTGGCCTTTCTCCCACTTCGATGTCATCCTGAGGGTGGGGACAGGAGGCAGCTAGGCAGAGGGGAATGTCAGGTCTCTGTCTTTACCCACTGGGCCTTAGCCGAGACTCCTCTCTGAGCCACTCATGTGCCCCTGAGCGGTGCTGATGGGCCTTGTTTTGCTCTCCTGCATGGCACAGTGGGAGTTCATGGTTCTTCTTCTGTATTTAGAGAAAAGGTTTGAACAGTGTACTCATTTCCAGGCCCGCCATAGCAAACACTGCCAACTACAGGCTTGAACAACGCATTTGTTACCTCTTGGTTCTGGAGGCTGGAGGGCTGAGATCAAGGTGCGGGCTTGTTTGGTTTGTTTGGTTTGTGGGGAGCCTCTCTCCCTATCTCACTGCCTTTCCTCTGTGAGTGTCCATGCCCAGATCTCTCTGTTGGGGGAACTGGCCATATAACAAAAGTGTCTGCCTAAGGATGGTGTCCTGGCTTCCCTCAGCAGAAATCCTCTCTCTGAATGCTATCTCTGCAGAGAGAGTATTCAGTGGTGTGTTGAAGCCAGGCATTGGAGAGAAGACAAGATTCACTCCACTGGTCTTTACTGAGCACCTACTATGGGCGAGGCTCTGCTGTAGGTGCTGGGTGTCATCAGTACCCCATGGGCCTACTCCCATCTTTGGGAGCTAACATTCTTGCACAAGTGACAGACCATAAGCAAAACTGACCAGTATAGCAAAACTGACCAGTATGTTAGAGAGTCATGAGTTTTACAGAACTAACTAGATCTGAGTGCTCACCAGGGCAGAGAGCTCTGCACCATCCTTTTGGGTCCTTGGGGGATCTGGTCTAGGGGCAGGGAAGGGGGCTGAGAGAACAGGTGCCTTGGGCTCCTCTCAGCTTGCTGCACCCCAGGCTGTGGTTCCCACTGACCGGAGCTGCTTCTTTTTCTCCTCTGCAGTGTGGAGGGTGAGGCCCCCAGCAGCGAGACCACCACATCCCTGGACAGCCCGTCGGCCTACCACCAGGGCCCTTTGGTGTCTGCCTCCAGCCTGAGCCCGGACCACTACGAGCACGCGTCCGTGGGTGCCTATGGGCTGTACTCGGGGCCGCCGGGGCAGCAGCGTGCACGGAGGCCCAAGCTGCAGCACTCGACCTCCATCCTGCGCAAGCAGGCCGAGGAGGACGCCATCAAGCGCTCACGCTCGCTCTCCGAGAGCTATGAGCTCTCTTCAGACCTGCAGGACAAGCAAGTAGGTGGGGCCCGGTGGAGGGCAGGTGTGGGACAGACCTCACCAACCTGGGTGTCCTCCCTCCTGGGCAACGAAGGTGTGGCTCAGCTATCACCATCATCACAGTCGGTGACGGGTCGGGTGTATATACTGGACATCTGCCCTCTGTGTCCCTGGAGAGCACTGACCCCAGGTGGCTCCAGCTGGGATATTTGAAGGTGTCAGAGAAGGCACTTAGCTTCGGGACATCCTTCCTGGACACTCACATGAATTCCTCCGCAAGCATCACCTTTAGTGCTATCCTTGTACTTAGTGGCTGGGGTCTGGTCCCAACCCCTCCAGGGTGTGCAGATCCCAGGGACATGCACCAGCAGAGAGGGAGGTCGAGGGATATCTCTTGACCATGTAACAGCCTGGATGCTGAAAGGCACCAAGGGCACCCATGACAGCCATGGTGAGGTTGCTAGTTCTGTCCATCCTGGCTGTTACTGGGTTTCTGGGGAAGATGCCCTTTGAAGATGCCCAGGACTGGCTAAAGAAATGGATGGTGCAGACCCTCATGAGTGGGCACACGCAGGGCCAGAAGCAGTGCCTTGGGACGGAGGGGTGAGGGGAACATTCTGTTCCTGCCAAGGAAGTGGGAGTCCCGGAAGGCAGAGCCCTCATACTGAGGGCACACAGTGGGGGCCTTTGATAGGAGCGCTGTTGTAAGCAGAAGGACAGCCAGTGTGTGAGCCAGGGCTGGGCATGTGTGGTAGTGGTATCCAGCTTCCGGAACTTGTGGTGTGACACTGTCGGCACCCCCTGCCTGACCAAGGACCCCCCACCTTGGCTGCAGATAACCACGCTACAGAGCTCAACTTGCCCTTGCACACACCCATCCCGAACCTGGCTGCGGACCCTCCCCACACTGCCCTGTGACCCTGGCAGTCCTGTCCACCTCTCCCTATCACTTTTCACCCCTTCCTGTGAGCTGACACTTGAGGGCACAGCAAGCAGAGTCTGGTAGCAAATGGCTCTTGTGCCCATGGCCCTTGTCAGGGCAGGCCAGCAGCGGGGTGGAACAATCTCTGTTGCATTTGCCACCTCTGCCCAGGTCCATAGGAGCTCACAAAGAGAGCTATGAAAATAGAAATGGGAAAGGTTCAGACCTCATGCAGGCCTGTGGGATGATTACACGCAGAAGACAGGTCTGAGTCAGCTGTCACTGTCCCCTATCCTGTGTGCGTGTGTGCTCGCTGATACCCACCGTTGTCAGACAGCGGGCTGTGTGCTATGGTAATGGAGGTGGGGCTTAAGCAGGCTGGCAGCCCAGGGCTAGTCCCATTTCAGAGCATGGGGCAGACTGGAAGGATAATGAAGTCGAGGAGGGACATTGAGTGGCCCTCATGGTGGCAGCACCAAGTAAGGGTGGTCATCACAAGCACTGGGCATTCTGGGAAGAGGTGATCATCAGTACAAAGGCCCTAAGGCAAGGGCAAGCACACAGGCAGGCAGTTACACTGAAAGCTACCTGCATTCCGTGCTCCACTGAGCTTCCCAGCAAGCAAGGCAGAAGTGGGAATGGGGCATTATTGCAGGAACTGACTGTGAAGGTGGGGTTCCCAGTTCCACAAGGGGCTGAGGTCTGGGGAGGCAAAGTCCCACTGTTGTGAAATGTGCATCGGGTGGAAGTCAAGTGTGTTCTCCTGCACACAGTCTTGGGGAGGACTAGGGAAAGCAGGGTGATGGCCTGGCCTGTGAGGTCCAGGTCCAGCAGGAGAAAAGAGGCTCTTATGATGCTCCCAGAATGACAAGCAGGAGGCAAGGAAAAACTTTCTCAGAGCTCAGCCTGGGGTCCCTTGTGAGTCCCTTGGGCTTTCTGAGTGCCACTTGCAACCCTGAAAATAGAAATCTGCTATGAACAAATGTGGAAGCGAGGGGTCCTCTTTGGATGCTGTCCAACAGTTTCTCAGAGCAAGAGAGAAAACCAGAGCTTCCCTGGCTGCCAGGCAGGGCATGGAAAAGTCATTTGGATTCCAACCTATGCCCAGTGCACTGCCCTCCTGCGGACCCCAGGACAATGGATGCAGTTGTGCTTGGGGAGCTCTTGGGCCTGAGCCCTGGCACCTAAAGGCCCTGGCCTGATGGAGGCGTCAGTTCCTGACCTTGGTCTTCCTTTGCCCCCTGAGGACTGGGCTACAGCTGCAGGACCATGTCTTTCTAGCCCAGGAGCAAGGCATGGGGTACGAGGAGGGGTTCCCTCAGGCTGTCCTGGTGATGAATGGGCCCACGAGATCCCTTGGGTGGGATCAGTGTAGACTGATAGCCGCACCCTCTGTCTCCACAGTCATCAAGGCAGGTATTGGGAACCATGGTGCCTGCAAGCCTGAGTGTCGCAGGGTCTCTTCTTTGAGTCTTAGTTTGCCTGTCTGTTCAATGGGGGAAGCTTGAGGGCCTCTGCAGCTGTAAACAGGGCTGCCCTGTGCTAGGCCTGTGCTAAACACTTCACGTCCATCTCAACAAGGATTTGCTAGAGTCCACAAGGTGGGAGTCAGTCCCTGTGAAACCCCATTCAGCAGATGAGGAAACAGGGCCTTTGTGTGCTGAGCTCAAAGAAGGGCCCAGGTTGACACTGGGCACTCACTGGCCTTGAACCCCATGGCCGTCAGCTTCAGGGCGTGCTGAGAGCTCTGGCAGGCATCTTAACCCATGTGTCTCCAGTTCCTGTTTCTGGAGGTGCTGGCTTCAGCCCTTCCAGCTCTCCAGGAGCATTTTCATTACCCTGCAAGCCATAGGGTGTGCCAGGGCTGCAGCTCCTGTGCAGAAGACATTTGGGATGCTTGGCATGATATATCCAGCTGCCCTTTTCCTTTTGCTCCCCAGTACTGGGGGTAGAACCCAGGGCCTTTACATAGAGTGATATTCCCAGTCCCTTTCTAAAATTTTTAAGTTTGAGACCATCTCATTAAGTTGCTGAAGCTTGAATTTATAATCCTCCCGCCTCAGCCCTTCCCAGAGTGCTGGGGTTGCAGGCATATGACACAACAATCTTCAGCCTTAACGTGGTACTTCATCTTATTTGACCTTGGAGTCCATGTTTAGGCCCCCTCCCAGCAGCTCCCAGCACTTGTTTCAACCACCTTTTTTGGGATGCACAAGACTGTTTTGGTTGCAGCTCTGCAGGCTGAGGAAGAGGGTAGGTATCTTGCAGGCCAGCACCCAAGGCTGCCCTCACTTTATTCCCCAACAGGTGGAGATGCTAGAACGCAAGTATGGGGGGCGCCTCGTGACCCGCCATGCAGCCCGCACCATCCAGACGGCCTTCCGCCAGTACCAGATGAACAAGAACTTTGAGCGCCTGCGCAGCTCCATGTCGGAGAACCGCATGTCGCGCCGGATTGTGCTGTCCAACATGAGGATGCAGTTCTCCTTCGAGGGTCCCGAGAAGGTGCACAGCTCCTACTTCGAGGGCAAGCAGGTCTCGGTGACCAACGATGGCTCCCAGCTGGGCAGCCCAGTGCCCTCCGAATGTGGGGACGTGGGTGAGCCCGTCACCCTCAAGTCTCCAGCCACCTCCAGCGACTTTGCAGATGCCATCACAGAGCTGGAGGACGCCTTCTCCCGGCAGGTGAAGTCACTGGCCGAGTCCATTGATGATGCCCTCAACTGTCGCAGCCTGCACACAGAGGAGACGCCAGCCCCGGACACTGCACGGGCCCGAGACACTGAGCCCAAGGCAGCTCTGCACAGCATGGACCACCGCAAACGGGGTGAGATGACAGCCTCTTACAGCGATGTCACCCTGTACATTGATGAGGAGGAGCTCTCACCACCTTTGCCCCTCTCGCAGGGTGGGGACCGGCCTTCCAGTACCGAGTCGGACCTGAGGCTGCGGGCTGGGGGTGTTGCTCAGGATTACTGGGCCCTGGCCCACAAGGCTGACAAGGCTGACACAGACACCAGCTGCCATAGCACGCCGTCACTGGAGCGGCCCGAGCCTCGGCTGCGGGCTGATCACCTCCCTCTGCTCACCATTGAGCCACCCAGTGACAGCTCAGCTGACCTCAGCGACCGCTCGGACCGTAGCTCAATCAAGAGGCAGAGTGCCTACGAGCGTGGCCTGGGCGGTGGGCAGCAGGGCAGCCCCAAGCATGGCCCCCACAGCGGCCCCCCCAAGATCCTCCCCCGGGAAGAGCCTGAGCCCCGGCCCCGGCCCCCCAGGCCCCTCGAGAGCCACCTGGCCATCAATGGCTCAGCCAACCGGCAGAGTAAGTCAGAGTCGGACTACTCAGATGGGGACAATGACAGCATCAACAGCACGTCCAACTCCAACGACACCATCAACTGCAGTTCCGAGTCCTCCTCACGGGACAGCCTGCGGGAGCAGACCCTCAGCAAGCAGACCTACCACAAGGAGACCCGCAACAGCTGGGACTCACCGGCCTTCAGCAACGATGTCATCCGCAAGCGGCACTACCGCATCGGCCTCAACCTCTTCAACAAGTGAGTCCTCAGCGGGTGAGCTGCTGGACAAGGTGGGAGTGGGGAGGTGGGCTCCCAGCAGGTGTGGGAGAGCCATCAGGGTCTGAGTGGAAGACCCAGACCACCGTCCTTGGATGGCAGATGCTTACAAGCCGGGCCAGAGGGACAGAATGGGGCTTCTCTGTGGAGCAGAACAGCTCCACAGTGGGGCTCTGCTGCCACATGGACCCCATGGCCCACAGAGGTGAGGCGTGTAGGGTCGTGCAGGCCCAGCCTTGCATGTCAGGCTGAGGAGCTGAGGGAAAAGACAGAACCTTGAGCTGGCGCAGAGCAGATCGGGGTCCGAGGGGGCCTTGGCCAGGCTTGGGATGGACCCAGAGAGTCTGGGCTCATCGGCAGCTGACCTGAGCCGGTACAAGAGTGAGAGGACAGAAGTTTGGGAAATGTGGGGTTGGGCTGCTTCCCCAGGGGCTCAGCGGAGGGTGCTGCTGGGCAGCCCCAGAGCAGGTCCAGGAGGGAGGAGGAGGAAGAGGGTATTTAAAGTAGACTATTCTTAGCAGGGCTGGAAATAGTAAAGGGAAGAGAAGGAGGGCCAGTCTGCCCTACGGGACCTTGGCAGGCTCTTGGGAAGCCTGAGATTTCACATTATTTCTGGCCCTGGGGCCTCTGGGATCTGGGGTCATTGGATGCCAGCCAGGCGTGCACTCCCCTGGATGGGGACGTGACCAGCCTTGTGTGGCACTTCCCCCAAGGCCCCAGAAAACAGCGTGGCTAGTAGCATAGCTGCCTCCAAGTGTTTGGGGAGACTTGGGGCTGCTCTTGAGGCACCCGCCTGCAAATGGAAGTGCTTGGGGGTGGGAATGGAACATGCAGGACTCTGCCCCAAAATCTGACAGCACTGCTCCCAGGCACTGCCATCACCAGAGCCACCTCAAAGCTAGGCTTGTGCCTTCTGGGGGAAATAAGAGGGGGTCCCAGCAGGGGGATGGAGGAGGCTGGGAAAGAGTCTCCTTCAGTCAACCAACTCTTGTCTCAGCCCACCCTCATTCTGTCACTTCTTAATTATATGGCCAGCACAAGGAGATACTCTGCTCAGTGACAGCCTTGAGGTTCTGGTCTTTGGCTATTTTGAAGTCTCCTCATTCAAGACTTTTTTTTTTTTGGCAGTACTGGGGCTGAAGGACTTTCCTGCTACATCCCAGCCCTTTTTATTTTGACACAAGGTCTCACTAAGGTGCCCACTAAGTAGCCTCCTCCGACCTTTTCTCCCTACCCCGCAGGGACAGATGTGTCTCTCTGTCATTTGTTGTTGATTTTCAGTCCAAAGGGGAAGGTTCTCTTGGTATCTTTTAGCTCTTTGTTTGTAAAACATCTGACTGGCCTTTTGTCACGTTTGAAGGTACTATATCACTAGCAGTTATAAATATGACTTTTATAACTATGGATTCTTTTCCTGTTGCTTTTTTTTTTTTTTTTTTTGAGTTTATCTTTGAGATGTCATTCACCCTGTATAGGATGGACTTTACAAAAAGTATCCAACTCGGTGTTTTGGTTATATACCTTTGCATTGTTCTCTGCTCATGTCTCAAAGAAGCGTTTAATTTTATTTAGTCAAATGTTTTGTGTTTTGAAATTGCTTCTCTTTTTATGCTTTGTTTTATGTAATCCCTGCATTTCACAGTGCTGGTCATGGAACTCAGGGCCTTGAGCATGCCTGCAAGCGCTTGACCCCTGCCATACTCCTGACTGCATTGTGTCTTACCCTGAAAGGCTCTGCTCCTGCCCCTAACGTGCTCTTGGGATTTTGTCTGTAGTAATTTCATAGCTTTGTTTCACATGCGATAGGACTTTCATCTGGAATTTCTTTAGAGAAAGAAAAAAAGTGAGGGTTGTCACCTGTGCATTGGCCCTTGACAATCTGATGTCATTCCACAGCCCTATGCAGTGCCTGGCACCGGGACCTGCCTCCTGCCTGGCCCTGGCTGCACCTGGGCCCTCCCCTCCCTCAGCAGGTCCTGGGGCCCCCACCTGCACAACCAGCTCAGGATGCATCTACACACAGATTAAAGGTCCCTTGGAATGACTTGCGATGTCTAAAGGATCTGGAGGCTGATTCTGTCAACATCGGACATGTGTAAATTATTATTTATTCCTTTACCGGTGCTGGGGCTCAAACCCAGGGCTCTGTGCCATAGGCAAGTGCTCGATGAGTAGCATCTGCAGCCACCATATTTAATGCTGTACTCTGCCATGTTCTCTTACTAGAGTCAGCTCCTAAGGAGTACTGGTAACAGTATTTGTCCTCCCAGCAGGGGTTCCCTGATCACCTGTGGTCAGCAGGTGCCATGCTGGGCAGTGCAGATCAGGAGGGGACCCATCTGCAGTCTAGGTCCTTGCAATGGGTCCTTGGATGGTATCTGCAGGCCTCCCTTCCTACAGAAGCTAGATGCAGCTTTGTGTGGAGCAGATCCCAAAGCTTCGGGCAGATGCCCAGCTGAGCCCTGCTCCAGGTTCTGTTTCCTCCTTTGTCCCCTCAGGTCCTGATACCAGCCCAAGAGGTGTTGGGGGGATTCAACTGTGTCATTTACTAACCAGCACCTCCTCCTGCGGGCTTGGAGCCTTTCCATTTCTAGGGCCATGCTTCATCCTTCATTCACTGCCAGGGCTCCCTGGAACCTCTCTGGGACTCAGAGCTGTGGGCCAGTCACCAGTCAGGGCGCAAAAACCTAGGTGCCTGCAGTGATGGAGCCAGAGCTGGCTACTTGAGCCTTGCAGGGTTGGGCAGCAGCGCATCAGGTTTATAGAGTGGGTCCCAAAGCTGCGAGCAGGGCTCTGCTACCTACCCAGGTCCCCATCCTGCTGTATCCTCTGTGCCCCTCCATCACCCCTCGGCCTACCATCACCATTGCTTCCAAGCTCTGCCTTGCCTGCACCCCCTTCCTCCCCGCCCCAGAACAGCTTGGTCCCCTGACCCCAGCAGAGAGTGTTCCCTGCAGCCTTTGCACCCTCTTGGTCTAGAGGGCGTGAGTGCCCAGTCTCTGAGGAATAAGGAAGGAGAGTCTGGGTGACCTGGGGACTCCTATAAGGGCTGGGAGCCATGCATGGGAGCCTCTGTATCTCCTGTGTAGGGCTCTGTGTTTGAAGACAGCCAGTCTACCACCCGCCGTGCCCACCCTGCCTGCTGGAGCTGCTTCAAGTTGAGGCAGAGCCTCACAGGGACTCTGGGTGATGCTGAGAAGCTGTGTCACACTCCAGCACCTGAGGATCCTCCCACTGCCCCATCCCAGGGAAGAGGGGTCTGAGGGTACTAGACTGGTTCCCACCTCACTCAGGGACAAGTCTGCTGGCTATCACTAACAGAGGGTATGCTGGGTTTCACCACTGTGTGTTATCTGTCACCCAGTGCTCAGCCAGGGCAGGAGGCAGGGTGGAAGAAGGGCCAGGCTCAGCGAAGCCAGAGCTGGTTCTCAACCCCAGTTCCCTCTTCCAGGACCTGTGGTGCTGTGGTTTAACAGGCAGCTCTCTGGGGGCCCCCAAAAGAGGGCTGGGTCTTTGGAAGTTAGGGACCTATTCGCTTATGGTCACTGGACTGTTGCCTTTGGTGCCATCAGAGCCTGGGTTCCCTGATGCTATCCTGGGCCTGGGCAGCTGGTGTCCTGGGCCTGGGTTTCTAGAACCCTGTGGGGTAGACTGACCCAAGGACGAGCCCAGCCACTGTCAGCGTGGTCCCCACCCTCAGGAAGGGCTGCGTGAGAGTCAAAGCTGGATGGGACCTCCAGCCCTGCATGTGCGCACGTGCAGGTTCCAGCTTATATGGCTCGACCGGAAGTCACTTCCAGGGCAGCCACAGGGAGCTCCAAAGGCTGTCCTTGGTCTTTTTCTTCCTCAGGCTTGCAGCATGGCTGCGCATGCTGGGGACAGTAGCCCATCACACAGGGTTCACCAGAGGCTTTGCTGACCATGGACCTGGAAAGCCCAGAGCTATCTTTCCCAGAGCTGACCCTGTTCCCAGGGTGAGAGGGTTAGGTGAAGTCCCTGGCCCAACCTTGGGGTAGTCCCTACAGGAAGCAGGTTTCCCCCACCCCTGTGGCTCCTCCCATCCCTCTTCCTGTGCTCTGACTGGCCAGCATTGAGTAAGGTCAGCTGCTGGCTCACGAGGACACAGCTCAGGGATAGGACACCCAGAGGTGCAGGATGGCCACTTCTCACAGCATGAACCAGGACAACCTCTTCTTCACCAGAAGATAGGGCTGAGCACTTGACCAGTAAGTGTTCTTTAAGGAGCACAGACCTGCTCTCATCCAGAATTTTCCATTGCCACTGTTGTCCCCGACAGTTCACAGATAAATCTGGACATGAGATGCACGGAGGGAAATGACCAGTGCAGTCTGTGTTTTCTGTTACACTTGACTCTGAGTCAGCATCAGATGTCTAAAGCTGGCTCAGCCAGCTTGGAGGAGGCCACCAATCCCAGACCAGAAGTAGACCATGGGGGCAGGGCTGTGGGCTGGCTGACTGTTGACCGCCTGTCAGGCGTCCCGCCTACTGGACACAGCAGGCTCAGGTGCCAATGGCCAAAGTCCTTGTCAGCACCTTCCTGAAGTTTGGTCCTTCCAGGGTACAGCGAGGTAAATAAAGAAGGGGTAATGGAGGTGCAGTCAGGAGCATGTGGGAGGGGTTCAGTGGTGATGCAGAGGAAGGACAGGGAATATTTAGGGGCTTCCCAAGGAAAAGGGGTGGGTTAGAACCCTGCACTATTTATGCAGAGGGCACCTGCTTGCCATGCCACATCATTGCCTTGTCCATGTCACTGTGGCATCATCCTGGTGGGTCTTCTCGGGCCCGGTGTGCTCTGCCCAGCCCTGTTTCCAGCAGTGTTTCCCGCATGCTTGAGCCATCTACTCTGCATGTGTGAACTCACCCATCTCTCTGGTACTTCTGTGGTATGCGCCAGTTGTCTCCCCAGTGTACACTGCACAGAGAGGGTCAGTACTTGCCTTGTAATGCAGCTGAAATTGAAGCCCAAGTTCCTGGCCATGCCCAGGCCTCCTGTGCTGCAATGCCCCTCTGTGTCCTTGGGTTTTCCCTTCCTCCTTTGTCATGCTCCAGTGAGGATGTCTGTTTCTCTAGGGTGGGCATTTGGTTGGGGACATCACTGTACTGACACAGCGCTGGCCCAGAGCAGGCACTCAGTCAGTGCGCACAGTGAAGGGTGGAGGTCACTGGCCAAGTGGACCACTCATGACACACAACCCTCCATCGCATCTCAGTGGCCAAAGCTTGTCCAGAGGAATGGGGAAGTGGACTCCTACAAGGAGGCAGTGACACCCGGGGGCAGCCCAAGGGTCACTCTAGTGTGTGAGACACATCACAAGTCTGTGGGACTCCTGTCCTTGACCAATCAACATGGAGCTCTGCCAGAGCTGGTGGGTGGAGAATTGGCCACCTAGCAGGGCTACCAAGTTTAGGTTTAGGGGTATGCAGGGCTTCGTGGGGTTGGAAGACAGCAAGATCCCCAGGCAGGGCTTCCTGTGGGTGAGTGCCCAGCCTGCTGGCCATCCCAGGGCAATCCAGAGCTGCCTGTCCTTCCTGCCTGTCCTTGTTGCCCATTTGGCCAGCCTGCTTGCCAGCCTTGATGGCTGGCTGCTTGGCCAGAAAGTGCTGGTGTGGTCTGGGAAAGGCCGTGTCCTCCCTTCTGTCCTGTCTGGGCTGTAGGCTGGAGCATCCTGGACTTGTGGCTCTGTGTCCTTGCCCCTCTGGCCCACACCAGCCTTGAGACCCCAGCAGCCATGCTGTCCTCTGCCTCAGTCTGCATCGTAACCTGGTCCCTTTTCTGTCTGCTCACTTGCTCCCAGGTGGGGCTGTGCAGGTTTCCTTGGTGCAGTCAGAGGGAGCTTCATAAGCACCTGACCCTTCTCTGTTCTGTACCAAATGTGCCCAGCCTCTGGTCCCACCACTGCACTCTTCCCCATTCCCCCAGGGCCCTGCCCCAGCCACCTAGGGACAACATTGGGGTCCCTGGTCCTGCAAAACTTGTTTCCCCACCCACGCACTATCCAGAGAGCTCTGGCCTCCATCATGCAGGCTTTGGCCCTTGGGCACTAGATTCCCATCTTCCACCATGCCAGATGTCCACAGCTGTCCCTGTCCACTACTGTCATCCCTACAACTCTGTACCTGATAGAGCTGACACTTGATACCACTCCCTGAAGAGCTGAGCCTCGAGTCCCTGCTCCACCTCCACTTTCCCACCATGCTCTGAGTTGTTGCAGGGCAGAAAGCCTGTCCTAGAAGGCCTTGGTGCTGTGGGGATCTGTGGGCACACACAGGACGGCTGGATGGGGGCTGAGCAGGAGGTGGAGGCAGAGCCTGGAGCTGCTGTGTCAGCAGCTATCGGGGATGACAGTGCCCACGTGGAGAAGGGACCAGGCCGTCCTGGTTCCCCACAAAAGTATGGGAAGCAGAGTCACTGTGAGCCCACTAGTGTGCCATGACCCCCTGGTTGGTGGCTGTTGCCTGCCAAGTCTTGGAAATAAGATTTGGGATGACAGTCATCACATGAAAATAACAGGGCCTCCCTACAGTCACATGCACATGTGGGGGTATGTGGCAGCCAGGAGTCACGTGGGACCTGGGTTGGGTACATGCTGCCTTAATCTGCACTGCTGACTAGGGAACAAAAGAAGATTGCTGGCTCTGTCCTCCAAGGAAGGAGAGGGTACACCCCTCCCCCATGAAGGGCATGGGTGCTGGTGTGCTCCAGGGCAGAGGGACCTGAGCCCATGGGTCCCCCACAACTCAGAGAAGCATGGAGTCTGGGAGGGGCACCCAGCTGCTTGATGCCTCTCAGTGACTCTGAGGACTCAAACAGTGGGACAGGGAGCCAGTCTGGCCAGGGGCATTGCCAAGCCCTTGGGCTCCTCACAGCTCCCCTAGTGGCTGAGAGCACCTGAGAAGAGGACACGTGGCTTCCACATGTGCCGCTGCCTGCAAAACCCTTCATGCCACTCTGTCTCCTGGTTGGCCAGCCCAGCTGCCAGGCTAGGCAAGGGCAAGTGACCTTCCAGGAGATGGGCAGTGCATTGGAGGATGAGGGGAGGATGAGTCTGCCTGGCTTCTGTGGCAGGAGTGCCACCGCATAGTGGGCACTGCCCCCACTGGTAAGAGCCTTAGGATAGGCTGGCAGGTGCAGAGGGACTGTGCCTTGCACCCTGATAGGTCTGACTCCGCACTTCCTGTTGAGGACACCCAAGCTCTGTAGGGACACAGCCCTGCTGTTCCAGCTCCGCCTCCCTCCATGGAGCCACCATGGAGGCTGCTGGAAGGACTTAGGCTGGAAACCCCTGTTCATGGTGCTTACCAAGTGCATCCTTGCAGGCCTGGGATATGGGACTCATCCAGTCCTGTCACCAGGGGACGTCACAGACAGGTGAGGTCACAGGGCTGTAAGGTTATAGGTACTGTGAGCCACCAGAGTGCCGAGTCCCAGGAGTAGGGGTTCAGGGAGTGCGTGGGGGGTCACAGAGGCAGCCAAAAAGGGTCTGCAAGCCAACCCTGGGGATAAGGCTCTGTGTGGCCAGCCCAGCCATTATTGACACAAGGTTCAGGCAGGTCAGGATGAAGAGTTTCATCAACCCAGCGCTGTCCACCCCCCATTTGAGGATTGGGGTCGGGCACGTGGAGGAGGGACAAGGACAGGGCCCAGGCTAGGGCAAGAGGGAGGAAGTCGGCACCCAGCCCTGTGTAGAGACCTCCCCTGGCACAGAACCTGGGAACTGAGCTGAGCACATTTCTTATCTCCCAGGAAGCCTGAGAAGGGCGTGCAGTACCTTATTGAGCGGGGCTTTGTGCCTGACACACCAGTGGGCGTCGCCCACTTCCTGCTGCAACGCAAGGGCCTGAGCCGCCAGATGATCGGAGAGTTTTTGGGCAACCGTCAGAAGCAGTTCAACCGTGACGTGCTCGAGTGAGTTCCGGGACTGGGGGCCCAGACCTGTGCCACACTGACACAGCCATCCTTAGGAGCCCTCACATCGTGTGTCACCCCCACTCACAAGGACACCTCCAGGCTCACCCTGTTGACTGTGACAATCACAGTTAATGCCTCAGTATCTTGGGGGCGGGTGCCTGAACCCTGCAGAATCCACACTCCTTGGATTCTCTGGTCCCTTACATGACAGCCTCATATTTGCACATACCCTATGCCAGCACCCATGTATATAAGTGGCTGTTGTGCCATGTGGTTTAGCAAGTGATGCACACTAAGCAGTCTACGTGTTGAGGATGGATAAGGGATGTTTTTATTTTTCGCAGGTGTTTAGAATGTGTGGTTGGTTAAATCCAAACATTTAAATCCAGGGGTCCAGAGGGCAAGTGCACTACCTCCTCCCTTGCCTCTTTCTTTTTCGGGGTCCTGCACATCACACACAGGTTTTCACCCATGCAGGTGCTCACATAGCCCCCCTGCTGCACTTACACACATGCATATGAGCACAAACTCAGACACACAGGAGACCGAGTTTCAGGACCACTGGCAGCGGTTACATGGACCCCGCTGAAGTCTGTGTCCTTCCCAGGCTGGATGCAAGCAGCCTCGGCTTCCCTTTGCCTTCTGAATGCTCTGCTCCTCCATGCCGAGTCCCCATCATGTTGCCAGTGTGGTCACTGCTCTCCACTCTGAAACCCATAGGCTGGATGATGAGGGGCAGCCCCCAGCAATGCCCCTGCAGCCCTTCCTGCACTGTGTCCCTCCAGCTGGTTCCTGGTCTCTAGGAAATCCGGGCATTGTCCACCCATCAGAAAACAGCAGTGGCTTCAGGAAGTCACGAGGCTCCCTGGCCCATCAGCCAGGCACCCCAGCGCTGCCTCTCCCTGCCTGCCTGCCTTCCCACCATGCACAGCTGCCCCAAAAGGCCTGCTCCCACTGCCCCAGGGGAGGGGCGGCCCTAGGAGGGGAGGAGGCCTTTGGTGACTTCCACCTCTGCAGCTGGCGGCTTCAACTGGGTGACAGAATGAAGCCTGGTCCTAGAAGTTGCCTCGACTCTGGGGCCTTTTTCTCTGTACATGGTCACCGTGCTTGGAGGGAGGTGCTGGGGCAGGGTGTGAGAAGTTGGTGACCCTCAGAACCTGTGTATTGGCCACTCCAAGTTTTCTGCCCCAAGATGCCCTGGAAGAGATGCCGCAAGCCACCTCCCTGCTCCAACTCCCATTCCACCCAGAAAGTCTGGGTCTCCGTCATCAGGCACTTGGGAGCCTTGCAGAACTGTGAGAAAGAGCCATGTCCCATGAGGCCGGAAACAGCTAAATGAAAGGCTCTGCAGGAAGGCCTCTCCTGCAGTAAACTTCACATGTAAACAGAACACAAGCATTTCCCAAGGTTTTGGGGTAATGGGCCTTGGAACCCTTGTGCTTTCTAAAGTGCTCTATGCTGACTGCAGAGCCTGGATGCAGCCCTCCCTGCCCAGAGGCTGCTGTCCCCCTGGGTCCGATGCACACCTGTCTGTCATTCATGTTCTCAAGACTCCTGCTCTGGTCACCTAATGGGGGTGCCAAGGTAAGAGTGTCACCCTTCAAGGGCTGGGGCTGCTCACATAGGCCTTGTGTCCCTACTGCAGCTGTGTGGTGGACGAGATGGACTTCTCTGCCATGGAACTGGATGAGGCCCTCAGGAAGTTCCAGGCGCACATCCGAGTCCAGGGAGAGGCCCAGAAGGTGGAGCGGCTCATAGAGGCATTCAGGTAGGTGCCCTGTGTGGCATGGGCGGGGCACCCCACGTTGGTTGAGAGAAGGTGCTGCTCTGCAGAAACCAGCACTGAGTCCCCTTTGTCCCTTTAACCTGTAAGCCTCTTTGCTCTCTCCTGGCCCCTGAGCCAGGCCCTCCCTCCTCACAAGCGTGGAGGGTGGGCTCTGACCTTGTCCATGGGGAACCTGAAGCTGAAGAGCTTCACACCCCACAGTTGCGCTCTGACTATCCATACCAGGCCCGAGACACCTATCTCCCTCATATCCTCCAAGCCATAGAGCCAGGTGGCCTGGGCCCGCTGCTGACTCCATCACATTCCAGCTGTGTGACCCTATGGCTGCTGGGGACTGAGCATGGGAGACTCATGTCCTCTGCTGACCAGGCACTCTGGGCGGAGCACCTCTGGGCTAGGAGGGTGGAGGACAGAGAACCCCAATCCCTGTAGGGACACAAATATCCACCCCCCAAGGATGGTCAAGGCTGAATTGCCACCCCTGCTGTACATCTAAGTATGGTGTGCTAATTGATTGCACCACTGGAGCTCCAGCCCCTGATACACATAATCCTGTCACTCAGCTGTCTCTGTCTGCCTTGGGCGGGGGGGGGGGGGACTCTGTAGTGTGGGTGGCAGGGGGAACAGAGTGGGCTGGATGTGACCCATTGTAGGTCACTTGGTTGTGACACAGGGAAGGGGAGGTACAGGAGGCACAGGCTTGCAGGTGTCTGGCTCACATCTGCTCTTCTTCATCGGCTAAGCTCAGTCCCAGCCACTCGTCACAGCCTTGGGTCCACTGGAGCAGAGACAGGGCAAGAGGGACATCCCCAGCAGGTTAGGAAGGGGCAGGGCACTCAGGGTCAGCTCCACCCAGCTGCGTTCCCCACCCACCAGATGCAGGAGTGAGGCTGGTGATAGGGGTTCCCTGACCAGCCCTCTGTGCACCTCCTCCCCAGCCAGCGGTACTGCATCTGCAACCCTGGGGTGGTGCGGCAGTTCCGGAACCCAGACACCATCTTTATCCTGGCCTTTGCCATCATCCTGCTCAACACAGACATGTACAGCCCCAATGTCAAGCCTGAGCGGAAGATGAAGCTGGAGGACTTCGTCAAGAACCTCCGAGGTGAGCTGTCCACACATCCAGGCCTCCACCGTGGCCAAACTTCTGGGGCTGCAGGGACCAAACGTTTTCGAAACGGAGCTTCTCCCCTGGAACCCCTCACAAGGGCCTAGAGGTGTGTAGGGCCCAGTGCATTCTGGGGGACAGGTGCTTGTTTCTGAGTTGGGACACTTCCCTGCAGAAGAAGTGATGTTTAGTTCGTGCTCAAGTGGTGAAGCTGACTTGCCTTTCCTTCAGGCCTTTCCACCTGATGGGTGTATGTGGAAGGGAATCCGCTCTTGGCATTGTAGATGGAAGCCAGTAGCATGCCATGAGGGGAGGCTGATTATTAAGGTGCCCACAGTGACAGGAAGCAGTGCTGCTGGGCTCTAGTCACACAGCCTGCCTCCAGCCCCCCTCCCCACCTATGAGGAGCTGACCAGTGAGAAGGCCAGGAAGAGGCAAGCCCTTCTGCTGCCATCAGAGGGCAGCAGATGGATAGGCAGGGCAAAGAAGGATTGTGTCCCTGTCCCTGGGAAACTCCTGTTGCAGAGCTAAGGATGGGTTCGAGGGAAATGGCTTTGTCCTGTATGAAAAGGGGGCAGAGCTGGTAGGAATCACGGCCAACTTCAGTGCCTAGCCTGCTCCTTTGCCTGTACCTGCAACAGTGCTGTCTCCTTGGGCAAGAGGACCCTCTGGGCAGTGTCTCCTACTCCTCCCAGCCTTTCTGCAGGGGTTTAAGGGTGTCCTTGTGCGCCGCCTGCCGGTGGAGTTTCCTTAGCATGGTGGCTGAGGGTACCCCTAGATGTTTTCCCACAGAGGAGAGTGAGCAAGGTGGAGCATTTCCCTTCTGCACTCTTGGGAGACCCCACTCCAGGGACGAGGGAGGGAGCTGAGAACCTTGGATGGTGTACATGGTGAAGCCACTCGGGGTCCTCCGAGCCCTGGGCCTCTCTCTCAGGCCTGCCAGTTGTGGTGGTCGGATAATCCCTGGGAGCCTTGATGTGCACTGCTGGAAGTGATCAGCCAGAGAAGGGAAGCTCTGGAGGTTCTGGGTCCAGCATTTGGGGTTCCTGCCCTCTCAGAAGAGGCTTGAGAGTTCCTAGCCATCATCACATGCCATTGTCCCTGCATGCCAAGCACTTGGGGGGGGGGGGCGGTTATCCTCATACCAGGAGCAAGTGCAGAGCATCCTCCTGGTCCTGGGGTGGAGCCCCTCGTTCTGACACTACATCTGGGCTGTTCCCACCAAAACACCAATTTTTGAATCAGAAACTGGAACAGTTCTGCCCCATGTCCCCTGCAAAGGTTCAGAGAGGGTTACAATGTCCCTGGGTCACAAAGCCAGTGCTGGCAGATGTGGGCCAGGTCCCAGCGTCTCCAGGCCAGCTGTCTTTCTCAGGGAGGGCACTCTGTCTTGTTCTTTGTGAGGGAGGCCCCACCCCAGCCCTGCCAGTGTCCTTGGGAATCATTGTGTCGGTTTACCTGGGGTGGGGGCAGCAGGACAGCCCTGGGCTGAGAGTGGCAGAGGGGGACTCAGCATTGTGGAAGTCTTTTGTTAAAAACCTCACTTTTCTTTCTCCCATTTGTTAGTTTTGGGAACAAGCATTGTCTTCACATAGTTCATGTCTTAACTTTTCTCATTGCTGAGACCCACAGATTAACGGAGGAAAGGTTTATTTGCTTACAGTTTGTAGAGGTTTCAGTCCATAATTGGCTGACTCCATGGTAGGATGACTTGGCAGAGGGGCATTGCTGAGCAGAAACAGTTCATGGCAGAGCAGGGCAGGCAGAAGGCAATAAAGTAGTAAGCAATGACAGTGACATTTGCTCTCTTTCTGTCCCGTATATTTTACCCAGGCTACCTGTCTTTAGGGTGGGCAACACTTACACCCAAGCTGGGGCACCCATATCCTACCCTGAACAATGCCAAACTAATCAGGAGACTGATTTTGTAATCACACACCCAGTGTTGTACATTCTAGATCCAGCCCCCTCTGAAAAGCTGCACCTCTGACCACATGAGGCCTTAGCGGACATCTAGACCCAGGCCAAACAGTTCAAAACCCAGACAGTTATATGAGATAGCAGCCTGAGTTCTGGAGTTTATCCAGAAGACTCAAAGTCTTAGCTCCTCTTGTGCAAGTTTCTGGTAGCTGTCCAAGTCACAGGAGGGGCTATGCTGTGCTTCCACAGATGGCAGGGTAAATGAACAGAGGCAGGGCCACTAGATGGGTTGTTACTCAGCACTAATAAGGAGAAATGAACCATCCTTGGAGAGAAGACATTAGGGAACCTAGGACCTGTCACTAAATTGGAGAAACCAATCTGAAACTGGATTTTGTGGTGCATGCCCATAATCCCAGCACTCAGGAGACTGAGGCAAGAAGATTGTTAGGATTGTGAGGCCAGCCTAGATTACATAGTGAGTTCTAGGACAGCCTAGACTACGTAGTGAGACCCTGTCTCAAAAAAAAAGCAAAAGGAAGCCAATTAGGAAAGGCTGGGTACCATCTGCCCCAGATCTGGCATCTGAGACAGACAAAGCTGGAGCCCAGAAAACACTGCAATGGTGGCAGGGCTGGGGACTAGAGGGACGAGCAGGCTGTGCAGAGGGGTCTGAGGGCAGGGACACTGTTCACTGTGGTGCTACAGGGGTGGATACACGTCCTCACACATCTGTCCATACCCACAGAATGCTAGCACACAGAGCAATCCCCTGTGTGAACAGGGCACTGTGGATAACCCCACATTGGGCAGGTCATTGGCCATAACAGTTTGACCCTCCAGGGTGGGGGCCTGAATCTGTGTGTGTGTGTGTGTGTGTGTGTGTGTGTGTGTGTGTGTTTGTTGGGGGGGCAGCTCTGTGCTTTCTGATGGATTTTCCCAGGAGCCTATAACTGCTCTCCAAATCAAGTCTATATTAAACAACCAGAAAGTCCAAAGCACTCCATAGCTGAGCTCTCCTCCCTGCCACCCTGCTGCCCAGGTCACACCCTCTGCCCTGGACACCCACACCTTCACCCCCGAGGTCCCCTCCTAGGCTGTCACACCATTTCTGCCTTGCTGTCTCCTTTTAATAAACCTTTGAGGAACCAGCCTGCCCACTGCTCCTGGACATTTGCACCAAGCAGTCCACAAAGGACACCAAGCTCAGAGGAACTGTGTCACTCAGCCACAGTCATACCGCTAGGAGAGGACAAAACCAGGACTCGGTTCCCGACTCACAGGCCCCAGCCACACAGCCTGCCATTTCTCAGCCTCAGTTTCCCATCTGTGGAAGCACTGGGGCTGTGGTTGGGGATGGAGGTGATGCTTACAGGGCTCCTGGGCCCAGCTGAGAAGGTGACCCTCTTTGTGTTCCCTGAAGGCCTGGGTGGCCTATGCTGGGTCCGCATCAGGTGGGGGACATGGGGACAACAAGGACTGCTCTGTAGCCACCGGCCTGGGTGGGCTGTGGCTCCAGTGGGAACCAGGAAAGGCTTGTTCTTCTGATCTGATTTGATTTTGAAACTGGAAACTGGGGGTGAGCTGAGGGCTGAGGCCAAGTGGAGCTACCACTGCCCACACCCCAGCCATGCTAATCCCTAGCTGCTGTCCCCTGCACAGGCGTGGACGATGGCGAGGACATTCCCCGGGAGATGCTGATTGGGATCTACGAGCGAATCCGGAAGCGGGAGCTGAAGACAAATGAGGACCATGTGTCCCAAGTGCAAAAGGTGGAGAAGCTGATCGTGGGGAAGAAGCCGGTACGTCTTGCTGGGTCCTCGGGCACAGGGCCACGTGCCTGTCATTCTGGCCTCTGGCAGGCAGAGCTGGCGAGTCACTTCCGGGCTGGGTGCTCAGAGCACTGCCTGCAGGCTTGAGGAATTGTGGCTGTTTGCTCCGGGTTGCACTTGAGGCCCTGAGGTTCTTAGTGATGGCCCAGCTCTGCCAACTCTAGGCTCTTTCCTTGGTGACCTGAGCCCCCTGTCCCTGACAGGGCACTACAGTGAGCTCTGCACCTTGGCCACTCCCTGGCATCTAGGCTGGCAGAGCTGGGGACCTGGTGCCCTGGCGGTGGAGGGGCCGGGCATTGCTGCAATGTCCCCGTGTGTGTGGATGCTAACAGCGTCCCTGTACTGTTTTCCCACAGATTGGATCGCTGCATCATGGGCTTGGCTGTGTGAGTACCTCTCTGCTGCTTCTTCTGGCTGCTGCCCACCCACCCGGGGTACCTCCACGTGTCGAGACATGTCACTGAGACCACAGCCACAAGCAAGGGCTTCAGGGTCAGGCGCCGTCAGCCCTTGGGGTGGCCTCTGAGGGGATCCGTGCTCTGCTGACAGCCTGCTCCTGGCCCTAACCTTCAGGCCTTGCTTCCCACAGCAGAGTGCCCACTGTGCCCATTGTGTCTGCTGCCTGCCCTGTGACTGTAGAGTGCATGCACACACACTAGTCTGGCAGAGTGGGTCACGTCCCCATCTCTGTCCCCGTCCCTGGTACCCCGGAGAGACATCCAGATCCCCACCCACACTGCCCTCAACCCCCTGCAGCCCTCTTCCCTCCTACCTCTGCCTTTCACACTGCTTTTCGAAGGCACCTGGGCACATCAGTCCCTATGCCCCATCTCCTTCGGATCAGTCTGTGTCCTTTGAGAGCCAAGGTGCTCCCCATGCCGGTCTCAGGGCAGCACCACTATGGTGAGGTTGGAGGATGCACATGTTCCTTTGGGGGTGTTTCAGGCCACTCTGGGTATAGCTGTGGCTCAGATGTTAGAGGAGGCATTTTGGGTTGGCATTGAAACCTGTGGGGCCTGGCAGACAGGGCGCATCCCATGGACTGAAACCAAACTCCAGCCCTGCAGCCTCCAAGCTCATTGACAAAAGGCAAGTGCCTCAATCCTGTGTACCTCAGTTTCCCCATCTGGAAAGACTTTTTTTGTAGACTGGTGGATTTATAGATGAATACATCCCTATGGGCAGTCAGAAAATGTGGCTTTCCCCGGGTAAAGGATCCTCTATGAATGTACAGTGTTTGGAAGTGTAGTTCCCAGCAACATAACCAAATCAGGGGCTCAGCAAAATGAATGTGCTCCCCAGGTCCTTCAAGAAAGCAGATATCAGGAATTTTCTTCTTACTTTTTGGTTTTTTGAGATAGGGTCTCACAACATAGTTCAGGTTGGTGAAACTCACCATGTAGCACAGGCTGGCCTTAAACTCATAGTGATCTTCCTGCCTCAGCCTCCCTAGTGCTAGGATTACTGGCTTGCTTAGCCAAGCCCAGCAGTATTAGCACTTTGAGAGCAGCTCCCAAGGACAGAGTAGGAACAGCTGCTCCCAGCCAGGACTCCATCCAGCCTCACACTGGGCAGGAGGTGTTTTGGGTGCCAGCACTGTAGGCTGGTTTCCAGCAATGCAAGTGGACTTCTTAACTGCAGTCTCCAGATCCCCAAGCGGGCTGGCGGCCAAGGCAGTGTCTCTTCCCGCACAGGTGCTGTCTCTGCCCCATCGGCGACTGGTCTGCTACTGCCGACTCTTTGAAGTTCCAGACCCCAACAAGCCTCAGAAACTGGGGCTGCATCAGCGTGAAATCTTCCTGTTTAATGACCTGCTGGTGGTATGTGGGTGGTTCTCCTGGCCCTGTGTCTGCCCCTGGGGGTAGGGCAGGGGCTGGCCCAGAATCTTTTGGTTTGAGACAGACCTTAACCCAAACTAGTGCCCGTGGAAGGGAAGAGGGCATTTAGGTCTCAGTTCCAGCTGGGTTTTGTTGGGGGGGGGGTGGCATTCCACCAGCAGGATTCTTCTCTCCACTCTGCCCAGAGCAGGCTACTGCTCTGGGGGGCTCTTCCCTGCAGGTGCTGTCCAGGGGGGAAGAGGAAGAAGGGTGCTGGTAGTACAGGACCACCCAGGTCAGAGACATAGGGTCCCTGAGCCTTGTGAGCTTCCCAGAAGAAGCCTGCTGCTCCCAGCCCCAACCAGGGCCAGTGGCTCCTAGGGACGCTGCGTTCTGATTGGCTCACACAAGCCCCCCGGGAGCTGGGAAGAGAAGATTGCTCTCTTTCCTGTAGGCCAGACTGAGGGCCATGGAGTCTCCGGCAAGCCCCAGGGACTGTGTTCCCCAGCCCAAGGAAGGCTCAGGCTGGGCCTGTGCCAGATCTGGCTTCTCCCTAGGGTCAGTCCCTGAAAAAGCAAGAGCCCTGACTGCCTGTCCTGTCTTCCAGCTGCCAGGCCCCAAGCAGGCGCCTCCCACTGTGATGGGGCCCTAGGGACACACACAGTGGTGACTAAGTGCCTCTCTGCTGTACCGTGGGGCTGAGTTACCAGCCAGAGTGGCATTTAGGACTCACTGGGACAGGAACCACTGTCCCCAGCATAGTGACTGCCCAGATTAGCTGAGCACAGGCTGCTGGCCTCCAGGCCTAAGGAAGGTCCCCAGGTGCCATGCAGTCCTTACAATTCTAAAGTCTAGCTCTGTTTCTGTGCCTTAGGTCACCAAGATCTTCCAGAAGAAGAAGAACTCGGTAACATACAGCTTCCGGCAGTCCTTCTCCCTGTATGGTCTGCAGGTCTTGCTCTTTGAGAACCAATGTGAGTTGGTGTTAGGGGTAGCTGTGTCCTCTATTATGGGGCATCTACTCCTCACCCACCTCAGCACAGCGGGCAGCTGAGGGTGTGACTGGCTGTGGACCCTGGGTTCTAAGATAGAGCCCCAAATCTTGGAGCGTGGTTGAGCCCATATTTAAATCTTCACATCAACATTTAAATATCTTGGGCTTCCCTTGAAAATTCCAAAGGCTTGGTGTCACTTGGAGTCCCTTCCCATACAGCAGCAGGAAGCTGGGGTACATACAGACACACACACTTGCACGCATGCACTCCAGCATGACCCAGTCACTTGCATCCCTAAATGGGCTAAGACCCCCAACATATCCAGCAGGGGACACTCAGCCAGGGGATTCCCATGACCATAGCCAAAGCCCTGGTGGCACCAGGGAGGGCACTGGGTGTGCCAGGAGCTGTGGCCACTAAGGGACAACAGCTCAGCCTGTTATCCAGAACCACCTGGGTGATGGAATGAGACACTCAACCCTCTCTGTCCTCCTCTGGGACTCAGCACCTGGCATTGGATAAAGACCCCAATGTGAAGGCCATCTTCCTGACCCTTGGGTGGGCCTGGCAGCCTTCTCCACTGGGCTGTGTACCCTCCCTTGGTGCGTAGTAGGGCTCAGGTCAGGGACATGTGACCATCCATGCTTGTCTGATTTTGCTGCTGAGGCAAAGCTCAGAGCGCTTGTCCTAGGCCATCATGTCCCAGCCCCTGTGACCAGCATGGATGCTGCAGAGATGCACTGCACCCACAGGCATCTTTTCCCTCACAGACTACCCCAATGGTATAAGGCTCACATCCTCTGTGCCTGGGGCAGACACCAAAGTGTTAATCACCTTCAATGCCCCCAACCCTCAAGATCGGAAGAAGTTCACTGATGACCTCCGAGAGTCTGTGGCAGAAGTTCAGGAGATGGAGAAGCACCGGATAGAGTGTGAGTCCTGGCCCCACAGGGAGATGGCAGTGTCCCTCAAGTTCCCCAGGATCCCCAGGCTGGCTGGGCTCCTGCCCTTGCCTCCTTGTCTCTGATCACAGGCGAGATGCCTCCTGTCCCCTATGGCCTCCACAGCCACCTGGAGGAACAGCAATGCCAGAGACACTGACAGAAAGAGGCCTGGGAGGGAGGGCCCGCTTCCCCAGTCTCTCCTGTGTGAGAGCAGTCTCTGCCCAGGGGCGACTTGTTGCTGCTCAGCCATCCGTGGACAAGAGCTGGCAGGGTCTGAGGTGGAGCCCTTTGTCCTCACCATGATTCTTAGCCAGTAGTCCTTGGGCACAGCCCCAAGTCACTTCCTGGAGATACACACTGTTCCCACCTCTGCTACCTCTGTGGAAGAACCTAGCTGAGCCCAGCTTCCCTGCCAGATCTTGGAAGACCTTGCCAGCCCTTGTTTCCCTGCCTCCCTAACTGGACGTGCCAGTCATTGCTGCAGCCTGGCCTCTTCTGTGTCCTGTCCAGGTCTCCATTTGGTAGACAGTGACCCAGGCCAGTGCCAGCTCTGAGCAGAGATAGGGACATGATCACTTGTATCTCCTTGCCTGGACTGCCCTCCTCAGCTGTGCCCCCCTCACCTGCCTGTCATCTTCTCTGTTCCAGCGGAGCTGGAGAAGCAGAAGGGTGTTGTGCGGCCAAGTATGTCCCAGTGCTCCAGCCTCAAGGAGCCCGGCAACGGGACGCTGAGCCGGGCCTGCCTGGACGACAGCTATGCAGGTGGCGAGGGCCTCAAGCGCAGTGCGCTCAGCAGCTCCCTGCGCGACCTCTCAGAAGCGGGTAAGAGCCTGGCTGGAGCTGCCTCCTTAGTGTGGACAGGACCAAGACTGGGTGGCCAGTCGGGGACAGAAGGGCAAGGAGAGCAGGGCTGTCTGTGGCCAGAAGGGAATAATGCAGGACAGCCCAGCGCTCACGTTCCCTTCCTTCTTCTGGGGCCTTTATTCTTTCACTTGGCTTTTGAAAACTGCTCCAAGGTCAACAGCCTGGCCAGTGTGTCCCATGTTCTCTGTGCTGCGTGTCCCGTGATCACTGCTGATGAATGAAATTGAGTGAAGCCCTCTCAGCTGCCTGTACGCCCCTTTCTGGGTCCCCACGCGTGCTTTCCCTGCAGGGGCCTCCAGCCAGCCCGAGGTGGTCCCCTCAGCCTGCATGGGGGGCCCTGGTGGAAGTTGTGGTTGTTGGTGGTATCTATTTCTGCGTGTGTTCAGTTTGCTGCCAGCCACTTACCCTAAGCAAGCAGCCATGCCCGAGACCCTGGGTTTCCAGAAGGGCACTGTGAGCCTCAGAAAGTTCCTGAGCCAGGCTTTGCTAGCCTCTGAGCAGGACCCTCAGCCACCCACAGGATGGGGTAAGGGCCGTGCCATAGCAGCCTCACAGCTACCTTCCCCCCTGGGGCAGGGGAAGAGGCTCACGGAGGGTGGTAGGTGCAGGAGTAGGTCCCCCTGGTGGCATGTGGGTCCCAGGAGCCTGATACAGTCCTTGGCCAATGAGACCCTCACAGGCTGAGACCAGCCCCCTTCCCTTCTCGGGGCTAACTGCCACCCTGCCCTGCCTCAGGCCCTCACCTTGGCCAGTATGAGACCCCAAGAGCCTGCTCAGGGTGCCATCCCATTTCTCATCCACGGCCCTGCCTCACACAGCTTATTCATTCTCAGAAAGTTTTTATCCTTGTTTTTCAGTTGAAATTTTTTCTTTGCTTTTGTCACTTTTTTTTCCATAGCGAAACCCCAAAGTTCATTGCCAGCATGAGGGTTTAAGGCAGGCCTTCTCAACCTGGGCACAGTGGGCATTTTGGCTAAATAACCCCAGTCTTTAGGAGGCTGAACAGCACCCCTGGCCTGTCCTCACCATCCCTGGCATCTCCACAAGCAGCTGGGTGACCCTCAAGCCCAGGTTGAGAATCCCTGGCTATCCTGGTCATCTTGTTCACCCAGCTACATGTTGTGGGACTGCTTGGGCCTCTGCAGGTGTGGCTGGGCTCTGTTTGAGTTTGTGCAGTGTGGCAGTCCCCTCCCACTCCCCTAAAAGCCACCAGGGTGCTCCTGTGTAGACTACGCAGGTGGCAGCGGCTCCATAGCCAGCCACAGACTTGGTAGATTGTTCCCACTGCTGTCTGGTGATCCTGAGGCCTGCAGGAGCCTATGCCTGGAGAGCCTGAGGTAAACTGATAAGGGGTCTGAGGAGATTTCTGGACAGCCAGCTTGGCAGCTGCAAGATTTATACTCTGAACCAGCTGTGTGGTGAGCCCCCTGCAGACAGCATGATGCCCTGGCCCACTGTGATCCTCACCACAAAAAGCCTGGGGGTTGACTCCATAACAGTTGCCGCCTGTAACCTCCACGGTCCACCTCCATCCAGGCGATGACACACCAAGGACCCAGCCTGAGCCCCATGTGAATTGGACGAGGGAGGCTGTTTCATTCTGCTGGCCCAGCGGGGAGCCACTGCCACTCCAAGCTGGAGAGGGCAGGGCACTGGGCTCTGGCCTCAGCTGCTGCCTTTTATCCAGCGGCACAAGAGCCAGGTGTACCCAGGTCTCAGCACACACCCCAGCTGCATCATGTGACAATGGATGCTGCACAGGCCATCACTCCGCATTACATCCCCTCTGCTGAGCTGACCACAGAAAGGACGTCCTTGGGTTGCTGGTGGCACCAGTGACACTAAGGGTGGGTGGACAAAGCATCATCTGCAGCCACTGTGATGTGCTTGAGGCCAACCTTTGATGTCCAGCATCCGAGCCAGCCCACCAGGCCATGTCCCCGCTGCAGCATGGAAGGTCCCAGGCCCAGTGAGGGCAACATGGAATCAGGACCACATAGCTGCATCCCATCCTGTTACAGTCACCCAGGCTGTGAGGACCAGGGTGCCAGGTCTGACCTGATCCAAGAGAGCATCACTGCCCCCCACCCCAGATCCTCCAAGTCCACGGAGAAGGGCCTATGCACAGGACGCAGCAGGTGACACCTCTGGCTGTGCCTGTGAGCCGAGGCTCCCTCTACATCCTGGGCTGAGTTACAGGTTAAAGACCATGCTTTGGAAACCACTTTGAGCCCAGGAGAGGCCCTGTTGTCTGCTCCAGAGTGGGCAAAGGAGGAGGAACGGGGAAGGCCTTGTTCACCCCCAAGCCTAGCCCTGCTGGCTCAGCCCAAGACTGCCAGGTGCAGCAGGTGGACAGAAGTGGGTAGGGCAGGGACCAGCAGATGGCTGTCCTCTGTCCCTGGGTTTTGGTCAGTTGCAGGAGTCCATCAAGCCTTTCAAAGGCCAGGGAGCAGAATATTAAACTCCAAATTGCTGAATATTGTGGGACATACCTGTAATCCCAGCACTCTGGAAAGCTAAGACAGGAGGATACAAGTTCAACCCCAGCCCAGGCAACTTAGCAAAACTCCATTTCAAAATAAAAAAGGGCTGGGAATGCAGCCCATGCAGAGGGATTCAGTGCTCTGCAGTAAGTAACCAAATGCCAAAGGCAGGAGAGCCTAGACTGTCAGCATTTCTATGTGGCACCAGGATGTCCTGTCTAGAAGGCCAGTGGGGGGATGACAGGCTGGTCAGTTCCACACAAAGGGAAACTGAGGTCTGCCACCTTAGCGCCTGCTTTGGGGAGGCCGTGATCTGGCCTGCGCTATGTCCCCTTGCTGGGGAAGGGCAGCCTATTTCTCTCCTGTGAACAGAAGATCCAGGGGCCAGAGCCTCTCTCGTCTCTAGGATGCAGCCATTCTGGAAATGCTCTGCCCAATTGGGGCACTGCCATCTGTGGCCCCGGCGCCCACCTGGGATTCAGGAGACAGGATGAAGAGACTGGTCTTCTCCCACGGTGTGCTGATTTGACCATGATGAAGCCCTAAGTTCCCCCAGACACTGTCCTCACCCACTGCTTCCAGATGTCCTGGCCTGGCTTGGAGAAAGAACAGCCTTTGCCCCAGAAGCTGGGGCACGGATGCCCGAGGGCACTCAGCAATGTCCCCTGCCCTCAAGGCACAGGAGCAGCCTGGCTTTGCATCCAGCACAGTGGCAGTGTGGCTGAGGTGTCTGGCCTCGGTGAGGGGACACCACTCAGGTCTCAGTGGTGTCATTGTGGGAACTGGGCCACCCATCCTGGCCAGTCGCAGCTTCTGCCCTTCTCTAATGCGGACGGACTGGTGCCACCCTCAAGACCCTCGAGTGCAGCGTGGTGCTACCCAGCACATACAGGGTGCCTGTATGTACCCCTTGCAGGGGGCAAATCCATGACTAAGGGACCCCGCTGGCTCTGGGAACAATGTGCCACACCAGGGGGCGGGCTAGAAGGGAAGGAGCAAGGGCCCTGTTACCCCACTGTCTCTTACCCCAAGCAGAGCACTGCACAAACAGAACTCAGCCCAGAGACCCCAGGGAGATTTAGTCCCTCTGACCCTGCTATGGCACAAGATGGAGGACATATATGTGTGTGTGTGTGTATGTGTGTGTATGCGTATATATATGAAATCTGCAGAGTCAGGGTCCGGGCCAGCCCAGGTGCTTGTGGTAAACAAGAAGCCATCCATGTAGTCCCCTCCACACACGACTGGGGTTGGCCAGACAGGAGTCAGGCCCTGGCCACCTGTGCACGTGTCCTTGCCCCAGGATCCTAATCTCAGCCTGCCGTGCTGGACAAGGAGCAGCAAGCTGGGCTGGCTTGAAGCATCCTTCCTGAAGTCCTCACTTCGTACTCGGCATTGGGCAGGGGACCAGCCTGCTCAGTGGCGGTGGCAGCGGCAGGCAGGCAGACAGGCGGTGCCCAGCCTGGTGTGCGTGTCTAACCTCTGGTATTGCATGTTCTGGGCAGGGAAGCGAGGGCGTCGCAGCAGTGCAGGATCGCTAGAGAGCAATGTGGAAGTAAGTAGGAAGTACCCCGTCTGGCTGGCTGTCCTGTGTCGCCCCATCCTTGGTTCTCTGTCTGTCTGTCCTGCTCTGCCCTCTCCTGCACAGACAGGCAGACACGGCCTTCCCTGCCCGTCTCCGCTCCGTGCATGCGGCTTCTCTGCCTTCAACATCCACGCCTCTCACCGCTTGTTTTGGACCCACCGGTGGGGGTGGCTCTGCATTTTGTGTTTACGTTTTGCTTACTCCCTGTACCCTGTGGTCCCTGAGCATGGTTAACCGTCCAGCTTCGTGAACGCACCCTGGGGTCCCTGCCCTGGCTGTCACCGCCCCTCCACTGGCTGTGGGGTGTGTCTGCCCCACTCAGCTCTGCGCCCAGCTGCGCCATGGCTTTCTTCCTGGAGTTGGGCTGGCTGTGTCTGCAGTCAGGACACAATGGAATTGCTTAGCTAGCCCACGGGAGGACAGCTTTTGAGAGAGGAAAGTCAGTGCGGATTTCATGAGATTTCATTCATCCTCCCCGACCCAGCACTGTCCCCATCTTGGCCTCAGCTGGCAAATCTTTTTCTGTTTCTCCTTTTCTTCATTTGGTTTGCAGGAGGTAGCTCCAGCGAAATGCTTAGGCAGCCCACACCCCCACGGACAAGGCCACAGGGCCCCACCTGTCTGTCACCACACCCTCAGGCACCCTGGAACCCCCATGTGGGCAGAGCCTGCACCCCCAGCCTCCTGGAAAATTCCCAGGTGTGATCAGGGCATGAAGTCAGCAAGAGCTGGGCTGCTTTTCCACACACACTACCCCTTCCCGCTGCCATCCCTAGGACCTGCGCCCTCAGGCAGGCACCACGTTCACAGCGCATGTGCACTGTGGCCCAGAACCGAGGTGCCTCTGCGCCTGCACCCCCACAGAGGAACAGTCTGCATCCAACCCTGACTCCCTCTGTGGCCAGTGAGCGGAACCAAGGGCTTAGCAGTCAGTGGGGAGCTTTTACATTGAGAAAGACAATCATTCCGACCTCCGTGCTGCAAGATCTTTTAATTTTGGTTTCTATGAATTTCCTTTTTAGGGCTCCATCATTAGCAGTCCTCACATGCGCCGAAGAGCTACATCAACACGAGAGTGTCCATCTCGCCCACACCAGACCATGCCCAACTCCTCCTCCCTCCTGGGCTCCTTGTTCGGGAGCAGGCGAGGGAAGCCCCCACCCCAGCCCCACCTGCCCTCGGGCCCTGCCGGCCCCCATGTGCAGCACCACCCAGTACCCATGGAGGGCCCGGCACATGCCCATCATGCCCAGTACTGCCACCTGCAGCAGAACCCACCCCCCTACCACCACCACCACCACTACCACCCACCCCAGCACATCCAGCACGCCCACCAGTACCACCATGGCCCTCATGGCGGGCACCCCGCCTACGGTGCCCATGGCCATCCGCCGCTGCCCGCAGCCCACACCAGCCACGCGGCCCATGCAGCGCACCACCATGGGCAGCCACCTGCCCCGCCACCCCCAGCCAGCAGCAAGGCCAAACCCACGGGCATTAGCACAATCGTGTAGACAGCCGGGCACGGGGCCTGGCCTCCCTGAAACCACTGCACAGCACACAGGGGCCACCCGGGGCATCTCTGTTTCTAGCCCCCCATGCCCCTTACGGCCAAGACAGCGCCCAGAGCCCATGGGCTCACCTGCCGTGGGACAGACACCTGCCTGCCGCAGCCTGCGTGCCCTGGCTCCCTTCCCCTGCCACCGAGGGTGGCTCCGCACCACCGTCAGCCTCCAGTGGCCACCACCAGCTGCATAGATGGGGACTGCCACCCATCCACCCCACTGCAGCCCCATGCTCTGCTCCCTTTGCCCACGTATATGAAAACCCAGCCTAGAGAAAGAAGAAAAGATACTTTTAAAGAACAGAAACAGAACACAACTAAACCCCAAACGTGCTGCATTATTGCTCTGTTATTGACAATGGGCAAAAAAAAATTAAGTAGACCTGATATGGTTGATGAAAATACGTAAGTAAACTTTATATAATATAAATATATAAATATATAAATATATATATAGAGATATATATGCTGTATAGGTAGTATTTGTGTGTGAAAGACAAGCGTTTCAGTACATGAACTTAGCAATATAGACCGTCCAAGGACCTCCACTCACCTGATAGGAAGACAGTGCTTAGATGAGTGTGTGAGAAAATAGACCAAAAACTTCCCTGCTAGGAATGAATTCAGATCCCTCCATATTTTCATACAAAATGAATAAATAAATAAAGGTCCCTCTAGGACTGACTTAAATCTTACACAATCATTGCTAACTGTGCCAAGTACATAGCATCTGTCTAAAGCTCCCAAGCTGCTTTGTATAAATCCTTATTTTATTAACAGATACTATCCTAAATAACCAGTATTATTATAATTGCTGTTCTTTCAGGTAAGCGTCTAGGTAAAACGCAGTCACCTCTCGGTAGCAAGTGGGGACAGCTAGCTAAGAGCCAGTCGTCCTGGGACGTTGGTCTCAAGCTCCTTAGGCACTTTGTACCAGGCTGCACTGACTGTGAACCCCACCCCCACTTCCCTTTCCCTGCATACACTTGAGCACACTTACCCATTCCCGAGAGGGCCACGCCCAGCACAGGGCCCCATCTCTGCCCTGACAGTGACCCACTCATCGTGCTCTGCCCAACACCATGGCTCCCTCGGCCCAGACCTGCTCTGCTCAGCAGGCGGGACCCTGAGAGCTGTGCCCAGGAAGTGCTGAGGCTCAAGGGCTGGTGCCTGCTGAGCAGCCCAGGGCAGGGGCCAGTGTGTGTGTCCCATGCTGTGTCGAGAGTGGTAGCAGTGGTCACTAATTCCATGTAGCCATGTGCTCGTTGAACACCCCCATGTCATCACCGTGGCCACCCATGTGACCCTGGCCGCCAAGTGCCTGGGTCTTGCCGGGCAAAGTCCCTGCTGCCTCTCCTGGTCGTGTGAGCTGCCCAGGCATCACATGATTCTCCGCTGTGCTCTTGTCGCTTCTGTGTTGTGGTGACACTATGTGCTCCCTGGAGCAGGCGCTGCCCACCCACCCACCCGCACTAGGTCTGTTCTCAGTCACCCACAGGCCATCCTTTGCAGTTTCAGCCTTTCCAGCCACTGCAGCCACCAGTGCTGTGCTCCTAAGCCTCGAGAGCTGAGGATGGCCCCGTGGCCCTGCCTGGGCAGCAACTCTGCAGGCCACGGGGCTCTGCGTCTGGGGACCACGTGCAAGCCGGGGCTGGAAGGCAGCGGGACACCAGAGCCAACTCTGGCCATGTCAGCCTGGCTGGCCGGCTGGGGATTTCCCCATTTCCTCCTCCATCCCTCCCTGTCATGTCATTGAGGTCACCGTACCAGCAGATCTGCAAACCAAGCACTTTGTTATCTCTGCAGAAAGTGAACCCAGCAATCCAGAGTTTACCCTTTTGCAATGGCAGGGACTGCACTGACTGACCCTGCCCTCCCAGGGTAACGTTCTTTCTTGGCCATCTGCTCCGGGCTGTGACAGCATGGGTATGTCCCATCTGGTTCGAGCCAGGCCAGAGGAGGCCCCTGGGTTCACTCTCTGCCGAACTCCTCACCTTCCTTAGAGCTGGACTTCCAGGCCTCGCTGTGTCTCACAGTTAAGGATGCCGTTCTGACCAGGACAAGTTGAATTGTACTGCATGTCACCTGGCGTCAGTCATGTGAGGCTACACTCTCTGTATTGTACACTTGCAAAATATACAGTGTTACTGTGGATAAATAGTTGAAGTAAAAAGTGATAACATATTAAATCCATCGGCTTTTCTTCACCCTCTTCTGTACCAGGGTCAGTGAAAGTGTAAACCTGAGGTGGTTCTAGGAAAGACAGGTGTTGGGTCCAGAATCTTAGACACCCGCCTAGAGCGGGTGTCTGTCCCTCCACAGCCTGCACCAACTGTCCCTGCACAGTGGGTCCTGGGGATCCGGCTTCTGTGCAGACTCCGTCTCACTCTGGGTTTCCCACTCTGGAGGGCACTGGGGTCGGGGCAGTGAAGTGTCTGGTCCTGTGTTTCCCCCCAGAGTTGGGGAAATGTGTCTGTGGAGTTTAGGATCCAGGGATCACATTGCCCACATCTGGCTTGGGAAGCACCAAGTCCTTGGGGTCTGGGCAGTGCCGTGGGGCTGTGATCCAGCACTCCACCTGTCACAGCACAGCCTCGAGGCCCTAGGGGTCTGCATTGTCCCCTCAGTACCTGCACATGTGAAGGGTCTCCTTGGGTTCCCACAGAGCTGCAGACAGGCACAGGACATGGTGGGGGGGCAGCTGATGATGGCATCACAAAAAAAAATGTTTTCTAGGACAAAAATGAAACCGTGGATTTGTATTTTTTTAAAAACTTTCCAAAGGAGTTTTATGGTGATGTCAGAATAAAAGTTTATCCTCACATTATGGCCATGTAGTGCTTAAAAACACAGCAGCTGCCTCGTGGAGGGTTTTTCCTGCCACCAGCAAGCCGGAGAGACAGCAGATATGACACCTGGTGTCAGCCCAGTGTCCCTTGGGTGCAGTGGTGGTGTGGGGACAGGATGCTTAGCCAGGGCCTCAACAGCAGCTGCCTCTTTGTCTATAGCCACACTGGTGCTGCTCCCAGGCGCTGACATCTGGGGCACCTCCATTCACTTTCGATCATTTTCCACAATTAAATCAGGTCTGGGGCACCCTCTGTCCTCCACACAGCTGGTCGCGTAGTGTGCCAGGAGGGGATGACATGTGCCTGTGCCTGGCTTGTGAGGTTGAGATTGATTGAGGTCTCCATGTCTGCGCTGGGGAGAAACGAGTCCTGTGACCCTCTCAGGTCCCTACTCTCTCTGACAAATCCCCATGGGCCACACACAGGGTGGCCTCCAGCTGACAGGGTGACCAGTTCTTATCAACCATAGGCACCACTGTCCTTGACACTGCCTGCAGCTCAGACGGGAGCTGTACTCTTTTTTTTTTTTTTTTTTTTTTTTTGTCTTTTTCCTTTTTTATCGGTACCGAGGATCGAACTCACCCCTGCCTGCTTGTAAGGCAGGTGCTTATGCCGCTGAGCTAAACCTCCAGCCCCAGGAGCTGTACTCGTGAAAGAGGAAAGCCACAGCTGTAGGTCAGAGGTGAGCGGCCCTCTCATACACGCTGCTCACACAGTCCCATCCTGTGCCAGGTGAGGGTCGCATAGGACCATTAGTGACCAGCTCCTTAGGGAAGGACAGGGACACAGGCATCATTCCCCACATCCACACATTGGAGAGGTGACCCAGAGAGGACATGCTGGGAGGAGAAAGGAGAAGCAAGAGCACCAGAAGCCACAAAGAAGCTGCTAGGGACAGGCAAGGACCTGGGGGGTGTCTGGAGGCTGCCCCTACAGCAGAGGGACCCGGAGCAGGGAGGCTTTCCTCATAGGGCTGGAGGGACAGGAAGAAGCTCTAGGAGGGCTCTGTTCCAGAGAGATGCTGCCCACAAACCAGAGTGTCCTTTACTTGAGAACCACAAGTCCCTGCAGAAGCACAAGAGGACACTACTGGGACACGGCTGGAGCTTGGCCCTGGCCCGCTGGCTGCCTGCCACACTGGCCCAGGAACATCCAGTTCTAGTCCTCATGTGGAAGACTCACACCAGGCTTTAAAAAGCAACAAGAAAGTGGTTTCTTTAAAGAAACATTATACAGTTGTAACAATGCGACAGTAATTAAAGTCATTAGGTAAGCAGTCATCAATAGGAGAAGCCACCAAGTATAAACTCACAGTGAAATGGATGTGTAAGATGTGCCTGGGGGCTCTCTTGAGAGACCCAAAGAACACCCGATCATTTCCTGATTCCAAACCACTTCCAAGGAAAGACAGCAAAGACGCTTAAGAGGGAACTGACATGCATAAAAGCAAGTTGCTCGCAGAGAGAAAATCAAAACGGCAAGTGGGGCAGGATGACGAGATGCTTTTGGTTCCAAAGGGACTTGGAAAGGAGCAGCCGCCCAGGGCTCTCGGTCCTGGGCACAGAGAAGGAGCTTTGCACCATTCTACACACATCAGAAGGTGCTGAACATGTCATTCGGATGGTTGCACCCAGTTGAGAGGACTTTGGAGAGATGCAGGGAAAGGCTGACAACATGCAACTGCACGTGCGAACAGAAGCGGAAGCGGGGCTGGAACGGGAGACCAGGTGTTCGCTATGCAAGCAAGTCAAACAGCGCCTCCTTCACTGGGAAGGGAAGGAAGGAGGATGTGGAGGTCGGAGTTGGCTTCTTCCTCCGATGCACTAACGGGAGAGACTTAAATCTGAGCATCCTAAATAGTAAAGTGCTAATTGAGAAAGTAGGGGCTGTCATGCACCTAGTGGCCATGGAAGAGTGAGGCTTCAGTGTCCCCCAGCTTCTGAAGCCACAAAAAGAAGGAAGACGGAGCTGGGGGTGGTAAAAGAGGGATCGTCATGCAGACAAACCCTTGCAGTGACCACATGGGTGACATGCTCCTCCCTAGGTGGTCTGTGTGCTGATGAGGACCTGCACTCGCCCGTGGGAGTGGGTGTCACTCGTCCCCAGACCAGGACGCTGTGCTAGGACCGCATAGCCCTTCACATTGTCACACCCAGTTCCTGTGCCTCCAAGTTCAGGCCTTTGTCTCAGGGTTGAGAGTCACACCAAGGCTCTCAGGTTCCCAGGCCTGAGGACTGTGAGGCTGACACTACCAGCTTCGCGGGTCTCCAGCTGGCACCTGGAATACTGGGACCTTCTCTGCCCCAATGATGCCAGGCAGGCACCAGTTCCCATAGTAAATCCCCCGTTTACAGAGAAATTGATGTACCTCTTGAAAAAACCCAAACCCTCCTCTATCAGAAACAAAAAGTAAAGCCCAGGGGAGGATTGCACCCCATGGCTCCAAACCCCAGCATGGCATGGGTACATGGTGAGACTCAAAGTGCTCCCAGTCACAGAGCAAACGGACACACTGCAGTTCTATCCCCGCATGGAAATGTGTGTGGCTCCCCTATTACAAGAAAAATATTTTGAGTTTAGTTCATGAGTCCCCATAGTGATCTGGTAAAAGCCACCCCAAACCTCAGCGGTGTTCAGCAATGAACATTTATTTCTCAGCCATGTACCTGCACATAGATGAGGGTTTAGCAGACTACAGGGATCAGCTCTGAGCTCCGGGATGAGTGCTGCCTGCCTACATGACTCTCATGATCCTTGAGCCACAGCCTGTCACAGTACTGTTCATGGCCAAAGACTGCAGGGCCACTAAAAATCTGTATAGCCTGCACCTGCAAAGACGAGCCTGAACAGGACAGTACTTCGCAAGCCTCTGTTCATGTCACAGCCACCAAGATCCCATGGAGCAAGTCCAGACCAAGCTCAGTCCTGCTTGGAACGAACACCCTACCTTCTAGGAAGGTGAGGAACAGTGCATGCCCCATCTGCTGTAGGTCACAAGCCAGCCCAGCCAACTCCACATCTGATCAATGTTCAGGAGGTTACAGAGCGATGTGTACAAGCAAATGAAAAGCGGTGAAGAGGCACTGGAAAGAACTAACAGTCTTCTTGTCTGAGAAGGTAGAAATCTGCCCTAACTGCAGCATGCAAAGCCCATTGTGGGCTCTCATCTGTAACCACTGAACTCTGGGAGGCTGAGGCAGGACGAGTACTCTTTTGAACCCAGCCTGGAAAACTTAGAAACGAAGTGAGATTGTGTCTGAAAACTAAAAAATGAATATGAGGACTAGAGATGGATCCCTGTGCTGGGCTCAGTCTCCAGTACCACCAAAACATAAAGACAAGATAAAGTGGCTTAATACTAAAAGCTGCGTGAATATGTAATTATAGCTTATGCACATGTTTATGCACTAAATAATACAGTGGCAGACATCAAAAAACAAAAACTATATGAAATGCAACCTGAAATAGTAACATTTTAATAGCAGGCTAAGACCCACTCTGAACCTAAGACAGGTCAACAGGACAGAAGTTAAATTGTGCAGACGTGTCCTATTTCTTTCTGTTCCGATGTCAAAGTTCATACTCCAGAATAGAACAGCTTGGAATCGTGGGGAACACAAAGGAGAGTTCAGCAGGCTCCTCAGGGCGGAGATATTAACACAACACAGTTGAACAAATAAAAACCTTCCAACTAGAAACACTATGGAGGATTAAATAACTTGGCAAATGCAAACTGTAAGTGTAGGATTTGTTTAAAAAGGGCGGCAACCACATAACAGCATCTGTGGTACAATAAAGCAACAGTGCAAGCAGGGTAACATCAACAGTTGGGTAGTGTGAAGATTAGCAAACTCAGTATTAGGGGAAAATAATGAGGTAAAGCAGAAATAAGTGCATAACCGAAGCAAAACTTAGAAAACCAGAAGTAATGCTTGTCCAACTCTGTGTCTTTGAAAACAGGCAAACCTACAGCCAAGCAAGTCCACATGGAAAGAGTACAGACAGACAGTAAGAAATGGAAGAGGAAGCATTTTTCTTTAAGTGATGCTACTTGAAACAACTTTATGTAATAAGTATGAAAATCTAGGTGAGTTGGATCCTGGCAGAGTTAAGCAGATTCCCATAGAAGAAAGAAGGTGATCAACCTGCAGAGTCCAGAGGCTTCCCAGGCAATTCTGACAGTTGTAAAGGTACCATAACTACAGGAAAACAGACCATCAATGTGAAATTGCAGCTCAAGTCATAGCGGGTATCTAGTGGCATGTTAACTGTAAATCAGACAGGTTTATTTCAGGAACATAAGAATAGATCAGTAAGAACCAGGTGTGGTGGTGCACTCCTGTA